TTCTTTTTTTTTTTTTCTGTGGATTTGGTTGGTTGATGATGATAAAGAAGGCTCGAATGGGTTTAGGGAAGAAAGGGGGAGAAGGCATCTTGAACCCAAGCTCTGGGTTTGTTCGAAACCCAGGCTACCTGGGTTCGAATGAACCCAAGAGCAAAAAAAAAAAAAAAAAATTCTTTTTTTTTTTTTTTGTGGATTTGGTTGGTTGATGATGATAAAGAAGGCAAGGCAAGATGAGGAACTGGGAACTGGGAAAAATAAAAAAATTCTTTTTTTTTTTTTATGTGGATGTTGGCTGAGGAACTGGGGAGCACTGTTGTTCTAGGTTCGAATGGGTTTAGGGAAGAAAGGGGGAGAAGGGTTCAGGCTTTGCAGGAGGTGGGGCCCACTTTCTTTTTTTGTTTGGTTTTGGGGTAGAATGGAACGTCATGCTGCACTGTCATCTTTTTTTTTCCAAGTGTGCGTTTGAGGTGTCACTCTATTTTTGACATGTCATCATGCTTTTGTTAATCAACGGGACATGTCACTAGATTTTTAATGGATTTTTAATGGAGGGATTAAATTTGGGTCAAAATGGTAAACAGTAAGGACCAAATCAGGGATTTTTTGAGTTGAGGGACTAAGTCGGGGGTCTGTACGATAGTTGAGGGACCAAAATAGGGGTTTAACCTAAGGTAAATTAACAATTACCTTTGATATATCTTTTCCACCAAAATTCTGTAAACAAGTCATCTATATAGATAACTAACATCATTAAATATAAAATATTCTAATGGAGACAATCGTCCATTATATATTACTCAAAATAACATGATCTTTAAACGTTAATCAAACACAAAAAAAATAAGAGTGACAAGACTTTATCAACTTTAATAAAGATAATTGCATCTTTTACCAGAATTATTTTACATATAATTCATAACACGGGCCTAAGAGTTTCTCCATTGCAACCAACAACTTTCTCATATCTATAATCTTAATATTATACATTGAGTAATTAAAAGTAATAAACTGTTTAACTTTCATTAATTTTCTAGACACATTATTTCATCATAGCTTTTTAAATGTCTTCTAATCAAATAGAGTTATTTCCTTAAAAAGTAATAAATATTTCACAAGATCTTAAATTTTGCATTACTCTTATTATAATTACTAATGTCTTTTACCATTTTTCTAGTTGACCAACAAAATAGTAATATTGTACAATTCAAATCCCTTATACTAAGAAATATATATCTCCAAACTTAATCAAACCATGTACAATCAAGATATGAATCACATGAGATATATAAATTAACACCAATCGCATGTTAGCAATATAATTTTAATTATAAACCTTTGTTTCTATAAGCTTTACATACTATATATTAATCCATAACATGATTCACTTCAACTCACAAGAGTTCAAGCCACAACTGTACTTTAGTTTATTTGCACTTTATATTGATTAAATAACTCCATAAAATTAAAT